CTTTTGTTTTCATCTGCTTCATTCTATATTTATTCTTTGTTTTTCCTGTCTTATGATTCACATGGCCGCAAGGCGTATATTGGTCATTTATGGTGTGCATTGTTTGTTCCATGAAAAATTAGAAACACAAATTTTTCTTGTTGACGCGATATGTACGTGGAAAAATGAATCGTAAATGATATGCGTCGATATATCCACACACACACGCACACACAAAGCGGAACGAATAAAGATTGATTCAAGTGTTTGATGCATTTTAATAAAAGCAAATGATCAAATTGTGGCAATGTAGGCCGAGTAACGTGTCTCGTCGTATGTCTTTTATTTGGGTATTTCCAATCGAGTTGAGTGTACGTTTGTGTTGTGGCCTCTTCTCATCTGAATACAGATGAGCGCCATAGAATTGGGTCATGTGTGTATGTGGCTGTCACACATGAGTGCAAAGAACTTAAAATCCGTTCACCAAACGTGAACCACACAGTGTGAACGTGATAAATGTAATAAAATACGAGAGAATAAACCATAACATGCAAAAATTAATACGAAAGAGCCGATATGAACAAAGAAAAATTGGCAGTAGCACGACTGTTGTTTGGAAAGTGTACTGCAAATTAAAATGTACGATGAATGGAAGAAATTTCATCTCTGACGCATGAAGAACAATGGGAAATGAGTGAAATTGATTGAAAACGAGGCCAACGCTGCATTGACATTTCGTCATTTGTTCTTTGAGCATGAAAAATTCAATCAAAGACAGATCATAGTTTCAAATTTACATGGAAACGTTCTTCAATTGAACTGATTGAAGTCGTGAATTGAAAGCTATTCAATTTTATTATATATATTCTCTTTCGAAACACGTTTATATTAACACATCAATTTCACTAGAACTTTCTCATTTTTTCCAGACGTTTTTGTGGTGAAAAGTATTCGAATCACAAAAAGATATTTAAAAAAAAACAAAAAGTGAAAAAAAATATTTAAAAACATTCGAAAACATTTTAATTATGACTTTTAAGCCATGTTTTTTTCTTCAGCTATGTTGCTTTGAGCTTGTGTTCTCCATCCCAAGAACTGGGTCAAGAACCGTTAGTCTTGCACTTTTCGAAAGTGCAGCGAAGACTTTGGCCGTTCAGAAGGAACAGTCAAATTTTTGCTGATGCAGGGTCATTTGTTTTAACCCATTTTACCTTCGTGAAAGTTGAAAAGAGATAAGATCAGAGCTGTCATTGGCACCGGAGAAGTGCGGGCATCTCTTATTGTCCGCACCTATTCCATTTTTCAAGTGCCGCGCCTGAATAAAAGAAAGGGCAGCGCCTCCAAGAAAAATGCCCGCACTTCTGCAGTTCCTATAACACCTCGATAGCGATCATCGATAATAATGTTTTTGAGCCGTCAATGATGGCCCATCATCGATTTCGATCAGAGTTTTTACCGAATTTTCAACGTTAATCGTTTTAAGACTATTTAACGTTTTTCGTTCAGATTTTAGCAAAATATTCAATTGAAACAAAATAAGACGAAATATTTAAGTCAAAGAATAGATTCGTTCAAAAACTCTCAGCTTTTGAGGTGAAAATACTTGGCGAAGTAGCGACTCATTCGAAAAGACCTTTTAAATCGTTCAGAAGTCGAATTTTGATTCGTTTTGATCAGGAGACGGTCTTGGACGGAGAAAAAATTCCAATACCCTTAAGTAGCAACATGTTCACATGCTCAAATGAATATGCATCCGTTTGTTCGCCTGAATTTGATGGCAAAATTAATAGAAATCCTTATGTATTGTACAAATAGTAAATAGTTTCGAACCTTTTGTTCGAATACTTTTGAGGTTGTTACGATCTTTTGTGGAATTCACCAAAAAGTATTCGAAAAAGTGCACTATTCTCTTCGAAAGAAACATGTTTTCAAATTGAACGAACGACTAGGTGAAACGTCCATTAATTGACGGTGGAGGAAATTTTTCACTTTGAGACTTATCAAAATTGATGTTTGGAGGTTTTTCAACACTTTTCTCCGAAAACTCAAAGTAACAACCGACAAAATTGGATATACCATTGATTAAAAGACATTCAGCTCTAGTTATTTTCGCCAATACATTTCTACCTTGTCTGCAGATCACCTACTTTATCTTCGTTCTACTCACTACTTCCAACAAGATAAACTTAATCACATTCTGTATTGATTCTCAACTTTTCTCCCAGAACGAGTTTGAAAATGATGGCTCTAACGAAGTGTTCCAAAATCTTATTGAACATTTGTTCTAAACCTTATTTACCTCTCATTGTTTCTCAATTTTCAATCTTGACTGTAATCCAAAGCAACAACGAAAAAAAAAGATTAAAATTCACCGAATACTTCACAATTCTTGTCTGCACTATTCTATTCACTGCGTTTAACTATGTGCCTTTGTTAATTTCTACTTCGTTAGCTTCTTTCGCTACTTTGATAGACGCGCTACTCGTTCAAAGTCCAAATGGAAACTGCGATCGAAAGCGGTTGACTCGTTGAATTTTATGTGTCTTGATGAGGAGTGCGCGTTTACCATTGAATTCCGTTCACTGGTTCGAACCACCTTTTTTCTCTCTTCATTCTTCAGTGTTGAGAACAGAATGAAGAGAGCGGGGAAAAAAGAGCCGATTTCACTTTGTTTATTATTAACACCGACGTGGTCATTGTGTTGGTTAGCACATATATATTTTTTTTATTCTCGAATTTTTGTATTCATATTGACATTCACCAAAGAGAAGAATGTTTGCCGAATGAGAAAAAAGAACGTTTTGCATTTTATGTAAGAAGATTTCACAGAAAATTCACGCCAAACGGAAGAAAATTCTGTGAATTGTAATGGGTTTATTGACAGTGTGGGTATTGTTTACATGGAACAATTATGCAGCTTATCTCATTGTTACCAGCGATGGTAACGCTTCTTTTATGACTTGATTGGGACATGTTGAATAACAAAGGTAAGCTTGAATCTAGATTTTTTGAGAATTAGAACTAACGGCACATTGAAGAAGTCTTTGCTTTCGATCTCATTGAAGATTCAAGTGCAAATCCATTCGGTCAATGGTCAATGACCCTTTTAAGTCGAACACGCGATACAATTTTCTTATTATTTTTTCGCACTTACCTCTCTTTGGATCTTTTTCTCTTGTTTCTCTCTCTCCCTTTTCTTTTGTTACTTCTCTTTAAGAAAATTCAATTTATCTGTTCGGTATAATTCTTTTCAAACAAACATTTTGTTCAATGAGATTTAGTTAAAAATCTGGGATGTAATTGTTCTCTCCCGAAGAAGTTAAAGCAGTTCAAATGCATAATGGAACGTAATGGTGATGCTGAATGTGTGTCGTCATACTATTCGATCGATTATGCATTCAAACGTTACCACTGATCGGTACCGTTACTTTTATTTCAGGCCAAGTCGAACGCAAAACAGTAATTTAAGAGAGAAAGAAAGACGACGAAGAAAAAAACCGGTATTAAAACGTAAACAACAAACATATGTTTTTTTAAGTGCAATAGCCGAATACACTGGTACATGAACACTATACAGCAAACGAACATGTTTTGTGCTGTAGAATGTCTTCGATCATATATTTTCTGATTCTGCTTTGTGTTACTTTCATTCTAAATCATTCACATCGCTGTTGAATACAAAAAAACTCAGTGACTTTTTTCGCTGACTCGCGACAAATTAAATTCCAGTGTGTTTTGGTTTTTTTTGGTTGACACATTGGTAATTTGTAGGGAATTTCTCAAAAAGAAAGCGATTTATGTATATCGATGCTCAACCACAAATTAGAGAGACTTTTTTAATATACACGGATTTAAACAATTACTCTTTGAGAGAAATTTCTCTCTTTTGCTCTAGAAAATTAATCATAGCGATGTGACATTTATGAATCGATTGAATTTGATACGTTTTAAGAGCGTTCATTGTTTTAATAGGCAAATACGTTCAGTTCTGCTCGAAAGGTTTCGATCGAACTATTACAATTTAATCTTAGAAGTGATGAAACATATATTGAACTGAGTCACTGCCAGTTCAACTGACTAGGTCAGCTGACCTAGTAACTGACGTGAAGGCGGAATATATTTTGGTACCTTTTTTGTAACAGTGGAAAAGAACCAATGAGTAGAATCTACACTGTAGATACATTTGGGTCTCTGAATTTGTTTTTTTCCGTTTTAGTGTTTTTGTTGAAAGATTTAAATGGATGTGCGCTCGGAGCCACTGCCATTCCACAAAATGTACCAAATAGCTGCTTCCCATTAATTAAGCTGACTAGTAAATTTAATGTCTGAAAATAATATGTTGTGCTTGAAAGTTACCTTAGTTTTTAAGCTCTTTAGACCATTTTTGAGTAAAAGTTACATCAAAGTCTCTCGAAAGGACTGTAATAGACACCATGGAGGTGAGTGCATTTTTCTCGTAAGTGCTGCTCTTTCTTGTATTCAGGTGCATGCAAAATTGTATGGAATAAGTGCGAGCCAGTCACTAGTGGCCGCATTTCTCCAGTGCCAACAACAGCTCTGTTTTTCGGTGTTCAAACAATTTGACGGCAAAATTGACAAAAAAGCAAAATATTACAAACAATATCTCTGTCCTATTGATTTTTGTTCTTTGCCTCTTTTCGAACTTTCTTTCCATACCGCGGATCCAACAACAATTTCAATTAAAATTAGTTTTTTTTTATGACAGTTGGTTACCATTGTATCAATGCGAAGCACGAATAAAAAGCCATCACATGATTTGCGTGCTGCAAAATGTAGTTGATTTCTAAGTTCTTCTTTTGATGTCTGGAATTTTCAATTTGATGAAAGCCACAGTTTTCGCAAATAAATTTCATTTGGTTTAGCATGCATTTTCTAGGTCAAATACGCAATTTCTTACTTTCTGCACAGATTGAAAGTGCACAATAATTTTTTTGGAATTTCCAAATTGCTTCAAAGTGCGAAAGAGCTGAAAAACCCGACTGAAAAGAGAAAAGACCATCTTCATTTCGAGACCATTTATTTTGAGATAACTTTCATTTGAAACGCTTTTTGGTTGATGAAAACATTGTAAAATATGTGCAATTATGACCACTACACTCGACACCACACTTAATATATTAACCGATTGGATTAAACTACCGTGAAGTATATGATGTTTGTGAAATATGCACTTATCACAAAGAATCTAGATTATAAAAAAAAGTCTTTCAATTTACACATTTTATTAAAACAAGACAAGAAATCATCTTGTATCTCTGTGGTCATATCGTGTATACATCGAATCGAAGAAAGTCCGCACAAGAGAGATACGGCGTAAACATGGAGTTGTACGTTGAATATTCGTCTTTTATGTGGAAGATGATTACTCTTAACATTTATTGCTATATGTAGTGTAATAGATCAAGTAGAGACTAAAAGAAGACTGGTGTCAGTGATGAAAATATCATTCAACATTTTAATTTGTAAAACTGTTCCGATTACAATCTCGGCTTTCTATTAAAGAAGTCTTTGTGTGAATTGACCAAAACTTTTACGAAATTCATTGAACATGAAGCTAGCGTATCCGATAACGACAATCTAAAATCAGTTGATTTAACACGAAGAAAATGTTATGAAAAGTCTGAAAAAATTGACAAATAAAGAAAAATCATACTTGAATCCAACCGAAACCGAACCCCGTGCCAGCCAACATGATGCACAGTCTCTCCAAATATTTTAACAAATGCATTTTGCATCCGATTTTAACGGCATTCTCTTCGGTGCAATTGGCGGTTGTTTGTATTCCACAGCATGACTTTGGTATGGTGATATTCAATTTTTCTGTCCAGTCCTTTGGTCCATTTATTCCGCAACATTTCAACTGAAATTTCATGGTTTTTTTCGTTCAATCATTAAAAATAGATCTTATAAATTACCTCGGTTTGGATGTCGTTCCATGCTTCTTCATTTTTGACGTGATTGTTGAGCATTGAATCAAAACTATTGTCCAAAGTTCCAATGAATTGGTTTCGTTTAATGTAAATAACGACTGATGTTCCAATTTCAAAGAAAAATATCCACGCCAACAGAACCAAAAACTGAGAAAAGATTTATATGATAAAAAATCACAAAAGAACAGAAAACGATCAACATACAACTTGGATTATTTGAGCATTCTCTTTGATCGTGCCATAGCAACAGAGAACTGTGATCAAAAACACACATCCGCCGATGGCCATTAGAAAAAATGGAGCTATCCATGAATGGTCTCCTATGATAGGGCAAGAATGTTAAATTCAATACTTATTCACATAGTTTCCTGTGGTGCTCACCAATGAAGTGATGGAATCGAAGGTAATCACAGTAAATAATCGTGCTTATCCCCAACACTGAAATTGCAGTTACCTACAAATATTGAATTTATTTTTATTGAGTGACAATGCGGTTCAAATGCAGTTCCTTTATTTAAAGGAATTTCATATCACACCAAAAAAAGACAGAAGAACCTACACCAAATAATAAATTAAAGATGTAAACTGCTTGTTTTGTAAAAACTAAACTAAAATGATCCATTTTTTATGCAATGAATTGTCATCGATGCTGAAATAGAGAAAAAATAAATAATTTTGTACATAGTTTAATCGCATCGTTTCGTAATAGCATTTTTATTATTGTGCACCATTCAAATCTATCTTTTCATTGGGACAGAATTGTCTGAGCGACGATTTCACCAAACGTTACTTTTTTCAAAATCAAAACATAAGACCGGCTTATTTATCATTTACTATTATTTATTGAGTAAAAAATTCGATGGGGACTGGTCCGACACCGCTGGCATTTTTAGATAACTTTCAACCACGAATTCATATCATTTGGATTTGTTTATATAGGAGAGAATTTTTGTTTCAAAGCTTCAGTAATTTTTTTCAGAGATTGGCGTACACAATTTCTAATCACTACACATCAAGGGTATGGCATGCTATGTAAAATGTTGGCGAACAAAAACCTTACAAATTTATCGGAATAAACCTTATAATTCTATGAACAAAATTACACAAATATGAGATAGTCAATACGAAATTTGTAATTCAGATAGTGTCCGATAGATGGCGTTACGGTTTGGCACGTCGCCATGTCTCTCATATACGTGCCATTCCCTTGCTACACATTTAAAGAAAAGTCAAATTCGAACTTCGGAGTTCAAACAGTCTTTTTAACGTTCTTTCTCTGAGAAAGTCTCAGAGCAAAAATTTGCTGCCAATCACAAAATTTTATGAAAATTACATTTTTTGAGTTTATCCAAAAACAAAATTTCACTATTTGCACATTTATGTTGAGACGTTTTATATTAAATTTTGTTTCCGTCCAAAAGTCCATTATAAACTGTTCCTGGTTGAATTCACAAATAACACCTAAAGAGCTGACAACAGATTTTGTTTCACTGTTTACGTGATTCACATTACATATACAATGTATAGGCGACACATATCTGTATGTTGTCTAGGTGCAACAATCAATCCAAAAATTTCCACAACACGAATTAACACGATAAGAGCACAGTATATGTAGCGAGAGTATTCAATAGCCAAAACCAAATTTCTTTCGGAATTTATTGATATTTTTTATCTACAATTTTCAGGTCATGAAAAGGTTCGAATCGTTCGTCAATTTTTCTTTTATCCAAAAATATATTGCAACCGCGAAAAAAAATTCTTTAGTTCCAAGGCGAATTTCACTTTTTTTCGTATTAATGACCCATTCATATCCGAAAACACTTTTAAATTATTCTAAAAGCAAATGTGTAGGCTCGAAAAATAGTTCCACAATTTTTTTTTAATTGAATGCTGACACCGAACGCTGAAAAAAAAAATCCACTCAATCTCACCTCATGAATATCACTTCTTCAAAATGTTCGAATAGTTTGTAAATTATTTATTTCACATTGCGTCGTACACAAAATCAATGTCCACGCAACAGCGTTTAAAGTGAAACTGCCGATTTGAGGTTGATCAGTTTTCCATGAGTCAATGCACAAAAACATCACAAAAGTCACAAGACTCGATTAATCTGCGTAGTAGACAGTACCAATGCAAATAGTGCTTATCGGTGTTATTATTTCAGTGCATTAGTCATGCAAAGTGTCAAACGTTATCTCGGAAAAATCACATGACTCAAATCCACAAAAAATTATCAGAAATTTCTATGTTTATAAATAAAACGAAAATGAGCACTTTTCTGATGTGAATGGAATAAAAACCAGTATATTTATAAGAAAAAAGATTGTAACGTTATCACGGAGTGCCCCTTGTATTGAATTAATACGCCTGATAAGAAATGAACGCGTAATACAAAGCAAATAAACAGTTTTTTTTCATTCAGTAAATGCTTATTTGTTATTCAGAAAAATGTGCCGCACATAAATTCCGCCGGTTTGATTATATATTTGTTATTTCTTACGATCATTTTCAATTTAGGTCTTTAAATAGAAGATTGTTCCTATTAAATGGTGTCTTCATCATCAAACATACTTAATTTACTTTTTTTACTGAATTAAAATTCAGTATCATATAAATGAAATTACTTGGATCGTTCATTAAAATAACTGGGTTTACAAAAGCCCTACCTTGAGCAACTTGCTCATTTTTAGTTGATTTCGTTATTTTTTGGCAATTAGTATTATAAAATTGGAACATTTTGTCGTTGGTATCATTAATTTAGAACAATTAGCCCTTAGTTGCCAGTAGGCTTATCTGAGATAGCATTAAATTAGAATAAAAATGGGAATAGCTGAGCTCTAGATACTTCCTGACAGTAGTGTCTGTCGAAAATGTCGGTCTTTTGAAGATATCAAACCGGCTATTTCCACTTGTATTCTCAATCACCTAACGTCGACGAGACGTGCCCTCTTATCATCTACTTTTGTGCCTATTACCAAAATTTCCTATCAAAATATTTGTGTACATATAAAAAGTCTTATTTTAAAAAAGTTCGGAAAAATCCGACCCTCATTCATTGTTTTTCCCTATATTTTCCTTCCATTTTTGTGTGTCACTCAAAGTGATCGAGTTTTATGTTTTGTTTCGTTGTGCCTCTTTAGATTACAAAATGTTGTTGCAGCATAATCGCAATGTGCACATTTGTATGGCTTCTCGCCGGTGTGTCGTCGTTTGTGTATCGTTAATTTGGCATCGTCTTGCGTGGAAAAATGGCATACATCGCAATCATACCATTGGCTACATATGCGTCTTTTTTCATGTTTTTTGACCTCATCTTGACTATTGAATCCCCGTCGACACACGCAGCAATGGTGCGAAAATTCATCGAAATGATTAGTCGTGTAATGACGATCCAAAAACCTTTTGGATTGAAAGTCTTCCGGGCAAAATTTGCATTGCAATCGTTTTGGCGTTTTTTTCTCTATGAAAATGTAAAATACGGAATTAATTCAGTTACAGGTTTCCTCATCGGATTTTTCACTTACCCAATTTTGATGCTGTTTCTTTAATCTTCTTTGTTGTCAGTTTCATGCTCCACAAGCAAGTTCCGTTCATTGAAATCAACAGTTCCGTATTGTGCATTTTGTTCAAATGGGCCTTTAGATTTGATAACGATGTAAAATCGAATTGACAATGTGGGCATTTAAATGGTTTTTCGCCATTATGTTTGCGTTTGTGTATCATTAAATTGCTGTTGTATGCCGTAGAAAAATCGCATTTATCGCATTTATACCAGTAGCGACATTTATTACGCTTTACATGCTTCTCGAAATCGCTTTTGTTCAAAAATCTCCAACGACACGTTGAACACTTGAATGGTAATGCATTGAAATGATTCACCATCTGATGGCATAATAAATTATCTTTTTCGGCAAAATATTTCACACAAAATTTACATTGTAAAGTGTCAATGTGTGATGGCCAATCTTCATTAGCTGCGACAAGTTGGAACAAAAAAAAAAGATTATTTCAATTGGAATTGGAATCGGTTCAACGATAGTTCTTACCGGCTTCGTTAATCGACTCACTGTCCGACTGCAGTCTTTGTCTTTTTTCTTCTCCGCCATCGTTCAATTCAATTGAGCGTCTTCGTTTATATTCTTGATTTTCATTGACTGAAATCGCTGCCGGTTCATCGATCACTGCAGATGGTGCTTGATCTGGAACTATCTCGTCTACTTCGAGGTTGAAAGAGAATTGTTGTATTTCATAGGAGTAATGACATGGACATGACTTACGTTTTGATGGCGACTGCTGTCGATCTTCATTTTCCTTTTGGCTCCAAATTGGGGTGGTCAAATAAATAGATAATTCGTCAAGTAAGTCTGTGTCGAAATTTGTTAATTCTTGAAACGGATCTAAATCGATAGTTGCTGTTTGAAAGATGTCACATTGTGGTGTCGATTGATGTATGGCCACGTCAACGTCATCTGATTGATTCCCGATAGAAAGAGACAAATAATTTTCGAAATCTTCGTACATAAAGGATCCAGCCATGTTTTACGTCCTCGGTGCAAAGTTTTTCTGAAAAGTAAAGTAAAATACAAATTAAATTGAGGGATATTTGACTTTGAACATTGAAAACTATAATTTAACTGAAAATTCCAATTGAAATACATTCAGAACCTAACCTCAATAACTGAAGCAAACTTTAATACGATATTTCACTGGCGTGATGAGGAGGAACATCACACAGTTGCTTATTTCTCGGCCGATTTTTTGTGGTATTTCAAAGAATTGAAACGTATTTATGACACTTATTCCCGTCGATCCGACATAAAACCCATTACGATTGTCGTTGCTTTTAATTTGATGAATTTCCCTAGCCTCTCACGGTTGTTTCCAATTAGGCACTTAATAACACACACTTTATTTTTAACGTAGAATTGAATCACATTGAAAAGTACTCGAATTACAACACTCTTTTTTCCACAGGTTTATCACAAAAATGTTGTAAACCTTCGACACACAAACTTTTTTTTGGATATAAACAAAACAGTTGTGTGTCGATTGTATGAAAATATTTCAAATTTAGATATTTTGTTCCAGATGTCACTTTGTGATTGTGACGTTTTTGGTAATTTGCAGTACACTCATACACACAAGCAAAAAATTTGATCGATTGTATTGATGTCGGTGTTCGTAAGCAAGAGTGAGAGCAAGAATGCTAATGTAATTAATGTATTCACAGAGTCATATGCATTTGGCACATAATTACATGCAAACATACAATTCGAAACTTGTCAATCGGGTAATTATTAAGTTGCATTGAAAACAAACAACTTTCAAATGGAAAATGTGTAGATATGTGTTTCAATTCAAGAAAATTGTTAATATGATAAGAAAGTAAATCGTTTTACGATACAACGATTGTATAATACATGTTGATGCCGAGATACAACGATTGTGCCGAGATAATGAATAGAGATGGATTATCTGAAAAAAAAAATGGAAAGAATAAAAAAAAAACGAATTGGGTGAAGAAAATGGCACGAAAATATGAAGAAGTAGAATATTAGAACCCGATGCCATTTCCACCAACATTTACATTTTCTTCTACGTATTTGACACAGTATGAGCAAAGTCATTAGTGTCGCTTGCCACACAAACACACATATCGTCGTATAACGATGTGCCAAAGGGATAATTAGAAACGGTGAGCACTGTTGTATTAAAAACAAACAACTTTCAAATGGAAAAATGTGTACTTTGAGAAAATACCGATGGGAAAATGCAAAGTAATAGGAGCCAAATGCCATTTTAACATGGACATATTTTCTCACATGTTAAAATGCCAATTTAACAGCAACAAATTTTGTTTGCGAGTAAAATGCTTTTTTAACATGTAAAAAATATGTTCATGTTAAAATAGCATTTTGTCGTCCTCAGGATAAATCGGCTTTTATCAAAACTCCAGTCTTCGACTCGAAACCAAACTGAACCATCTTTTAGCTCAAATATTACTCTTCAATCTAATCAAACATAGACTAAAAAATATTGTGCAATGGTTTGTTTCATAATAAAAATAAAAAACAGCAAATTTAGCCATTTTTATGATTATTTATGCAATTGTAGGTATATACATTACATATTTGATTCATTATCAAAAATGACATGGGCTAAATTATAAGAAAATTCATTGATGAAAATTTAATTCTTTCGAATCATCATTTTTTGTTTAATACGTGCTTCAATCATTTAAAAATAATAATTTCATTTCATCCACTTTTTATTGAAAACATATAATGAATTTGAAATTTCATGCGCTGTAAGGCCAACTTCACTCTGCCAAAAATCCAAATGAGTTTCGATCTGTAATAAAAACAAACAAACAAAATAAAAAGAAATCTTTATACAATCGACCCGTTTTCATTAAATCATCTACATCTAAAGCGGAACATTGTTTTAAATTTGGATACTTTACCAAAGCATCTTTAAGATCATTTTCACTCCAACCTAGCCGGTTTCAAAGATAGTCCATGCTATTCGCAAATCCATCAAGCGATTTCCTTTCTTCAAGATATCTTTTTATTTGCCTGTAAAGGGAAATTTCGAATTTGGTTTGAAAAATATTCTTTTTCTTTTATCATAAACGTATCATACAATTCCAATTGAGATGAATTTAATTGGTGAATCATATACGCCGATATTTTATTGAGGCTGGCTTTTTTAAGACTTTTGATTCTGTGGTCAATTTGTGCCACGCTATGGACTTTGAAGACCGTTGGCATTGACGAAATAGTTGTACGATCTACGCCATGTTTCAGAAGAACATCTAACTTTGTTTAGAAAACCTTACTTTTTGCAGCAAAACTGGCGGCAATCTCAGTGACTGGTATCTCTAGTTTTGCGCTAAAATAATAAATCGGATGATCATTTCCAATGGCCTTTAATTCAACGAGATCACGCTTATATTTTTCCAATACAATCGCGTCGGTAATTAGCAGAGGAATGAAGTCTGCAATATTATTCGGTTTCATTTGTTGTACGACAATTTACTTGACTATAATGCACTCGAGCAACGATTGCTTTTTTGTCTGTGTTAAGTTTCTTTATTTGTATCATCATTTCCGCGGATAAGGCAGTCTCTTTTTCGGCTCTTTTCAATTCGTATTACTTTTCCGCACACACCTAGTGTGTAAGGTAAAGTATTGGAAT